GGGCTCTGGAGGGAGTTGGGGTGCAGGGGGATCGACCGGGCTCTGGAGGGAGTTGGGGTGCAGGGGGATCGACCGGGCTCTGGAGGGAGTTGGGGTGCAGGGGGATCGACCGGGCTCTGGAGGGAGTTGGGGTGCAGGGGGATCGACCGGGCTCTGGAGGGAGTTGGGGTGCAGGGGGATCGACCGGGCTCTGGAGGGAGTTGGGGTGCAGGGGGATCGACCGGGCTCTGGAGGGAGTTGGGGTGCAGGGGGATCGACCGGGCTCTGGAGGGAGTTGGGGTGCAGGGGGATCGACCGGGCTCTGGAGGGAGTTGGGGTGCAGGGGGATCGACCGGGCTCTGGAGGGAGTTGGGGTGCAGGGGGATCGACCGGGCTCTGGAGGGAGTTGGGGTGCAGGGGGATCGACCGGGCTCTGGAGGGAGTTGGGGTGCAGGGGGATCGACCGGGCTCTGGAGGGAGTTGGGGTGCAGGGGGATCGACCGGGCTCTGGAGGGAGTTGGGGTGCAGGGGGATCGACCGGGCTCTGGAGGGAGTTGGGGTGCAGGGGGATCGACCGGGCTCTGGAGGGAGTTGGGGTGCAGGGGGATCGACCGGGCTCTGGAGGGAGTTGGGGTGCAGGGGGATCGACCGGGCTCTGGAGGGAGTTGGGGTGCAGGGGGATCGACCGGGCTCTGGAGGGAGTTGGGGTGCAGGGGGATCGACCGGGCTCTGGAGGGAGTTGGGGTGCAGGGGGATCGACCGGGCTCTGGAGGGAGTTGGGGTGCAGGGGGATCGACCGGGCTCTGGAGGGAGTTGGGGTGCAGGGGGATCGACCGGGCTCTGGAGGGAGTTGGGGTGCAGGGGGATCGACCGGGCTCTGGAGGGAGTTGGGGTGCAGGGGGATCGACCGGGCTCTGGAGGGAGTTGGGGTGCAGGGGGATCGACCGGGCTCTGGAGGGAGTTGGGGTGCAGGGGGATCGACCGGGCTCTGGAGGGAGTTGGGGTGCAGGGGGATCGACCGGGCTCTGGAGGGAGTTGGGGTGCAGGGGGATCGACCGGGCTCTGGAGGGAGTTGGGGTGCAGGGGGATCGACCGGGCTCTGGAGGGAGTTGGGGTGCAGGGGGATCGACCGGGCTCTGGAGGGAGTTGGGGTGCAGGGGGATCGACCGGGCTCTGGAGGGAGTTGGGGTGCAGGGGGATCGACCGGGCTCTGGAGGGAGTTGGGGTGCAGGGGGATCGACCGGGCTCTGGAGGGAGTTGGGGTGCAGGGGGATCGACCGGGCTCTGGAGGGAGTTGGGGTGCAGGGGGATCGACCGGGCTCTGGAGGGAGTTGGGGTGCAGGGGGATCGACCGGGCTCTGGAGGGAGTTGGGGTGCAGGGGGATCGACCGGGCTCTGGAGGGAGTTGGGGTGCAGGGGGATCGACCGGGCTCTGGAGGGAGTTGGGGTGCAGGGGGATCGACCGGGCTCTGGAGGGAGTTGGGGTGCAGGGGGATCGACCGGGCTCTGGAGGGAGTTGGGGTGCAGGGGGATCGACCGGGCTCTGGAGGGAGTTGGGGTGCAGGGGGATCGACCGGGCTCTGGAGGGAGTTGGGGTGCAGGGGGATCGACCGGGCTCTGGAGGGAGTTGGGGTGCAGGGGGATCGACCGGGCTCTGGAGGGAGTTGGGGTGCAGGGGGATCGACCGGGCTCTGGAGGGAGTTGGGGTGCAGGGGGATCGACCGGGCTCTGGAGGGAGTTGGGGTGCAGGGGGATCGACCGGGCTCTGGAGGGAGTTGGGGTGCAGGGGGATCGACCGGGCTCTGGAGGGAGTTGGGGTGCAGGGGGATCGACCGGGCTCTGGAGGGAGTTGGGGTGCAGGGGGATCGACCGGGCTCTGGAGGGAGTTGGGGTGCAGGGGGATCGACCGGGCTCTGGAGGGAGTTGGGGTGCAGGGGGATCGACCGGGCTCTGGAGGGAGTTGGGGTGCAGGGGGATCGACCGGGCTCTGGAGGGAGTTGGGGTGCAGGGGGATCGACCGGGCTCTGGAGGGAGTTGGGGTGCAGGGGGATCGACCGGGCTCTGGAGGGAGTTGGGGTGCAGGGGGATCGACCGGGCTCTGGAGGGAGTTGGGGTGCAGGGGGATCGACCGGGCTCTGGAGGGAGTTGGGGTGCAGGGGGATCGACCGGGCTCTGGAGGGAGTTGGGGTGCAGGGGGATCGACCGGGCTCTGGAGGGAGTTGGGGTGCAGGGGGATCGACCGGGCTCTGGAGGGAGTTGGGGTGCAGGGGGATCGACCGGGCTCTGGAGGGAGTTGGGGTGCAGGGGGATCGACCGGGCTCTGGAGGGAGTTGGGGTGCAGGGGGATCGACCGGGCTCTGGAGGGAGTTGGGGTGCAGGGGGATCGACCGGGCTCTGGAGGGAGTTGGGGTGCAGGGGGATCGACCGGGCTCTGGAGGGAGTTGGGGTGCAGGGGGATCGACCGGGCTCTGGAGGGAGTTGGGGTGCAGGGGGATCGACCGGGCTCTGGAGGGAGGGCCGTCGCTTTGCGACTCTGCGAACCGGCGTGATGCCCCGAAAATGAGGAAGGGAAACCAGGCTCCTGGAAGGAACAAGGAAGGGTCAGTGCCTGTTCCTCAGCCTTGGGACCGCTCTCTGTTTGGCGTGAGCAGGGCGAGCGCAGGACCCCGCTTCCACCAGGGGAACCTGGACAATGAGAGCGCGGCCAGCCCCACGGCCACGCCTGCAGCGTAGTGGGACCAGGGCGGCTTGAGCCATTCCTGCGCCCCGGGCAGCGGGCGCGTGGTGCATGCGTGGCCCCGCACCCCGGCGCACTGCGCACCTTACAGCTGCCATCAGGCACCCCCATAGGTTGGCGCCCCGGCTAGCTCCCCCCTTAATCCGGCCCTGAGTGGGACACGCCACGTGTGAGCCCCTCGCGCAACACGGGCCAGCCAGCAAGGACTGGGCAGTGCAACTCGTCCTGACGTGCCACGGGCCCGGCGGCGCACGCGTGTGATCTGCTTTGATTTGTGTCGTGCTTTGTTCGAGCCCACGAGACATGCTCGCTAGCCCCCGGGGACACGGGCTGGGCTGGGTGGCTCACTGTCCCCCTGCCGCCTGCGCCTGGCGCAGCCTAGCGCTTGGATGGCGGAGCAGTGCGCATGGGCAGGTGGCACCGAGCTGGGAGGGGTTGCAGGCACTTTGGAGGGCGGGTTTCACATTGGGGCTACGCCTACAGTACAGGTTTTTGCAGCAGCAAATATGCCAATGAGGGACTCATTAGCATAAGTCCTGACCTCATTAGCATGTTTTCTGCTGGGTTTTTGAGCAAGGGGTGTTGTGTAAAAAGGAGCAGTGTGGTCCACGGACCAAGGCTCCCTTCCCTTCCCGCTTTCCTCGCCAATTCGGCCCCTCGGCTACTGGCGCCCTCGCTCCGATTGCCACACGCCCCCTCGTCCCCGCAAAGAACAGTCTTATGGCGAGCGCAGGAGCAGGCCGGGCTGTCTCAGGGACCAGCTGCTATCAGGACACAGGGCTGCTGACCCCGCTGTTCCGTGGGGCCCTGTCAGCTTCCAGAGCAAGGCCCCGAATCCCAGAGAGCATCTTGGAGCGTCTTGTGGGGGCGGGGGGCGTGCAGCTGACACCGTCAGAGAGGGGTTACGAAATCTCAGATTAAAACGCCAGGGAATCCCCTGAGGCTATAAAGCTGGGTGGCCCTGCTCCAAAGGAACCGTTCAGAGCCCGCCGCTGTTCCGTGGGGCCCTGTCAGCTTCCAGAGCAAGGCCCCGAATCCCAGAGAGCATCTTGGAGCGTCTTGTGGGGGCGGGGGGCGTGCAGCTGACACCGTCAGAGAGGGGTTACGAAATCTCAGATTAAAACGCCAGGGAATCCCCTGAGGCTATAAAGCTGGGTGGCCCTGCTCCAAAGGAACCGTTCAGAGCCCGGGCAGCCGTGGGAGGGTTCAGGCACCGTCTTCACGCTGCTCCGCAGCAGGGCCCCTCCTGCCACCCAGCTCGCGAGGGCCGCCGTGCCGGCGGGATGCTGGGGGGAGCC